GTTGCTGAATGTCGACACGAATGGCGACAACAGGTGGCTGGCGTCCGACCAACGACGACGTCATCATTCACGGAATTTTTTATTGCAAATACGAGATATGATGCACAAACAAGGACTGCCTGGTACAGCGGTGGGAAAGGGCACACACACAAGCGGTCATCGCCGGTCGCTGCCGCATCCATCGCGAGAGCGGCGAAATTTGCGGGAGCTCGTCGTTTGAAAGCAAAATGAATGAGGAGGTGAACTGGGGAAAGTCCGGGATGAACAGAAGGTTTCGTTGCACTCATGGCACGTCCCGCCATTCGGGAAAAACTTTGCAGGATAGACCACCCTCTGAATTCCTCCGGCGCGCCTTCCCTATGCCCCATCGTACCTACCATCTTCCTAAATTTTTCCAGCTTCCACTTTTTCTGGTTTTTTTTTCGAAATGCTCTTTTCCCCGGAAACTAGCGCGGAGAATGGGCCAAGTGGCACATTTGGAACAGAAAAAAAGCGAGAAAATGGAAATTCTACCTTTGGAAGAAGAAAAGGTAGTTCCTCAAGTGCAGAAGGAGGATAAGAAAGTATGAAGCTCCTGGCCGAGGAGTGGTCAGCTCCTTTTCGGGATGAACCACCCACTCTGCTTCCAGTCAGGATTGTTGTAGCTTATTGAATGCAAATACTATCCATGCCATGACTTCCGGGGCTACCCGATGTACAGAAAGCTTATTTTATCCAATCGCACGACTGTACTGTCAACTAACCTTTTTCTGGAGGCAAGGGGATTTGATCTTGTGTCCGTGCGCGATTGGAGCTGCTCACCACTGCACCACATCCGTCTTTCTTATGTATTTCTTCATTTTGTAGGGAAAGTTCCATGTAAAAGTTGCAAAACATGGAAATCAATCTTAAAAGTGTCTAGTGGCCGTCCTTAGCAAATAGTGTGAACTTAGGCGATTTGATCCATGATGAGCGAGTGCTACTCTCACACTGCTAAATTTGCACTTGGATCACTTGATTATAATCTGTATATCTGATATCGCTTTCAATCTGAAGGAGGTTGGGGAGGAGTACAATTCCCAGCATCTTCTGGAGATCAAAATGATGTCTATCCATTCATTCGTACCCGATGATCGACCAAATTAGAGTGCACGGCGCGTTCAAAGAGAACTGATTAGCCAAGGTTCACCACGGGGATGTATGGACCGAAAGTGTCAGTATTTCCCCCTCCTTCTTCCCACCCTCCCCCCATGTATTTTCTAGGTATGCAATCTACCATCCATAGCCAAATTCGAAGGCCAAATATGACCCCACCTGCCAGCGGAGGAACGCAACTCCCTGGATTTGCGCTACTGTGGTGTATGTTATGGTCAACTGGGGGAGCGGAGGCCAGCTGATGTAAAAGTAAATGGGCGCTGTTCAGCTTGGAAGGTGCATTTTGCACGTTCTTTACTCCCTTTCGCTCATTCATCTTAACTAACAGGTGTCAATATAGTATAAAACCTGGCCCGTTTTAGTTACAAGAATTTACAGATTTCACAAGTTTACCTGTACAGGCTTCGCTGCGTACCCCTTGGTGCCCCCACCGAGCCGAACTGTGATATGCCAGTGTACTCCTGTGGAAACCCGGCACCAATTAACCAAGGATGGAAGGCTTGCTCTTGCTCGCCATCTGAGGCTTGACCCTTGCACTGTGAGTGGGCCAGCAGCGCTCCTCTCCACTACACTGGCTTCTTCTGTAAGTACGCGTATTGGGCTTTTGAATTTACTGAAAGCTGGCAGGATATCTAAGGTACCATAAGGCTCCAACAGGCCCACGGTGTTCGAGGTGCCGAGATTGTCCGAAACCCATTAGCAGAAAGTTGGACGTCGGTGCCCCCCTGTCCCCCATAAGAAGTGGCCTATTCCGAGACGGGACTCCGCCCAAAGTGCTAAATTCACCGGTGTTCCATCGAAACTATTGCACGTGCAATGCTTCATGCAAAGGGCGATGTTGTTTGTCCGGGGCGAGTCTCGTCCATCCCGGGGCCACGCCCATTCGACCAATGGTTCACGGTGTTTCGTACGAGGACGTATCATCATCATCGGCTTCCTGATCACTGTTCTCGCTTTCATTCACGATTTACTGCACTTCGAGATCATCCAGAAGAAGTTCGATCACTTCACGCTTCAGACCGGAGGTGCTGATAGTTGGGGTCATCAGCGGGTGCATCAAGTGGGGTTAACCTCCCACGGCCGGTTGCGCCCTTGTCTCGTCCCCCAGCCCCGGTCAGAAAACTGAAACAACGAGCGCGCGACTCGTTCGTGTGGCTTTCACTTCACGCTCGTCTTGCTGTGTTCCAAATTTCACCCGATCGTCAGCAGCCGGTGCGCTGCGGTAGAATGGAGAGCCACCGAGCTGCTGCTGCTCCTTCTACTGCTCCTACTGCTGCCGCCACTACCCCTGTCGACGTCACCACCGTCACCGAAGCTACCAATGCCGCAGATACGAACGATCAAGAGCGTCGTAAGAAGAAACCCTATAAGGAGTTGACCTTGCAGGAGAAGGTGCAGCTGATTCGCCTGGCTGAAGAGAACTCTGGAATGAGTCAGGCGGCAATTGCTGAGCGATACACTATCGCTAAAAGTAATGTGTGTCGTATACTTCAACGTAAGAAGGAGTACCTTATGGCATACGAATCGGCTGGTTACGCAGGCTCTCGAAAGCGAAAGTTGAAAAGCGCCACAACAGACATGGTGCATGACACCAGGCAAATGGGTCTATTGGTACCGGCTCCTTCAGATAGCACGGGTGAGCCTATAAGTTTTCATCATTAGGAAGAATCTGTGACACCGACTTTCTCGTCTTTCTGACTTCATTGCTCTTACGAGGTCCTAAATTCACCTTGTAGTGCCTATTTATCGGCATTTTTTTGTTTCTAATGAAAACCACACTCTCACTTAGGTCCCAACATTACTCTATCCCGTCATCCTCGTTTGATTTCGTATTGCTTGCATCCGTGCCTTCACGGCTTTTTTTGGGACTTTTCTCCCTATATTTTGCAAATCTTTTGAACTGTTTAGTATTCGAATCATTAGAATTGAAGGTGACCCCCTGACGTTTGAGAAGCTTCAAAAAAACCCCTCACTCCCACTTCTCATGAGTAATTGGATGGACGGTAAGGCACAGTACGCTAGCTCATTGCGCACGCATTAGAAGGATTGCTTGTAAGACTAGAGGGAGTCGAGTGTACGGTCTATCTCAGATATTTTTCCAGCGAAGGGGGTCGCTGGAGTGGGAGGGGGTCCGATTTGCCTTGAGAGAAACATTTTCAGCTATCAACTCTAATCAGTGTTTCCCATTTCGAGTGCAATACATATTAGCCCCCCCTCTACCTACCCTCTCCTCCTACTTCCTCCACTTGACAATGATTTTTGAGAAACTGGAGAACTCCTCAGAAGACTGGGAAAGTGGTGGTAAGCACACTCCTCAGAAAGGGACTGGGGGAAACACCTTGTGTGGTCGGTAAGATACGCGGAAAGTTGGGTAGGATGGCGTGGCCCAGTGAGGAGGATAGGCCCAAATTGAGTTCGTATCGAAGAGCGAGTGCGCGATTCCTTGACTTGGACGCTTTGTAAGCAGGGCCCGTTCATACGTGTAGGGATCCTCAGCAGCGAGGTGGTATTTTGTAGCTGGAGGGCCTCATGCGTTTTTTCTCTACGATGAAATGTATTTCACGTGAATTCTCGGTTCTTCCAGTTTCCAAGCTGTGTGATCATTGCAACACCCCCCCCCTTCCCTCTTCCCACCCCACACCGGCCAAGGTGGCTCTGGGTCCCTCCTTGAGAAGCCGGGCGCCGTATTTAGTAGCAAAGAGGCGTTTACTGGCTCAAAAAAATTTGCTTTCCCGCATTCGTTGATTTGCCTTTTCACTCTCTCCGCCCTCCACGTTGAGGACTGTCGTCTTACCGGTAGGCTGATCGGGATGCCGGTACCCCCCCCAGCCTCCCTCGCAGATATGATGAGCGATAAATTTAGCTCCGTTGCCTGTGGTTTAAGTCGGTTAGGTTATGTCCATGTAAAAGGTCCATAAGATGGAGTTAAAACCTGCTAAAAAGCTACATTGTTCATGTGTTCCCCCTCCACGAGGCCTGCGAAGGTATATTGTGGCAACTCCCGAACGCTCGCTTTTTTTTTATTTTGTGCTCTTTTGCTCTCCTAATGAACGGAATAATCCTCTAAAAACTATTACTGCTCACTGGAGGATCTGGCGCTAGTAACCTTGGGGGAGGGGGCATTGGCAGTTGGGCGTAACTGGGCTTAAACGTCATCGGATCAGAGTGCCGTAGTTTCAATTGATACACTGAGTCCAGAGCTCATTCCACACTTCAGACTTAGCCAAAGGTCTTCATTTCCATTTTGGTTATCTCAGTTCTGCACACCGACTCCTTTAAATGCGCCCCCCCCCTCAAGTTTACTGGCGCCGAAGAACTGTTTATCTGAAAGATTTTATTGAGTTTAGCCCAAAGAAATGATGGTAAATGTTCGAATTGTTTTATATGAGCTCTTATTTTCATTTGATTTGGATCCGGATTTCTTCTCCAGTAAGAAATCAACGGATAAAGATCAGATTGACCTGAAAGCGAGAGTGCAGGGCGACCTTTCAAGCAGCTATTGTCCTCTCGCTGATAACAGAACCAGACTTGATGACTCGGCCCGTTGACCTCGTCATGGCGTATTTCGATTTTCCCGTTCCACATGCGCTCTCTTCCTCTCCCTTCGTATTTCATTCACTCATTCATTCATTCGTTCATTTTTTTGTCTTCGTTGGCTGTCATCCCGGTCAACCAGCCGCCAACCAGCCAACATGTCCGTTTCGCTTCCGTTTTTCCCGTTGCCTTATGGCCGTCGTGGTCGTTGTCATTGCGGGTGTCAATACGTTTTCTGGGGCGTAAAAACGGCCACACGCCATAAAAAATACGAGCGTCGAGAGTTCAAACGGTGTGGTCGTCGTCGCATTGACAATGTGTGTACGTAGTGCGCCGTAGACAAACAGAAAACTGACCGATGAGAGTTTCCTTACGAGTTTCCTCTCGTTTTTCGTGGAGGGCGATTGAAAATTGCCGGTTTCTGGGCACTTTCTTCTAAAAAGGAGGACGTAAATTGGAACAAAGCTCTTTAATGCAGAAAAAGGGTTGGGAGGGGACTTAACTGATCACTTTTCTTCATCGCAATCGCTGTGCACACAAGCGTCACAGCCGATACAAGACTAAGTACAGAAAGGAAAAAAAAAAAAAAAAAAAAAAAAAAAAAAGGGGAAAAAAAGAAAAAAAAAAAAGGGGGGGCCCCCCCCCCCCCCCCCCCCCCCCCCCCCCCCCCCCCCCCCCCCCCCCCCCCCCCCCCCCCCCCCCCCCCCCCCCCCCCCCCCCCCCCCCCCCCCCATAAACCCCCTAATAAATTCAATACCGTTAACGACTGAGTGGGAGTGCTGGAGCTCTTTCCTCTCTTTTTCTTTCCAGCCTATGTATAAGCCAGATACGTATTCAAATACTATAGCGATTCTGCATGGATGTGAAATTCATGGCGCATAGCGCAAGTTGAATGACTACTACTGTGATCATTTCCATTTATCCTGTGACAGCCCTGCCTTCGAATCGTGTGATTTTGTTGGGTAAGCGCCCATATACTGTCACGATTCCGGCAGACGGTAGGGGGTGTGGCAGGACGTGGAATGGCAGGCAGCCAATGCGGTGTTTACCGCCAATGATTCCATCTTGAGCACGATACAATCGGTGGAAAGTCTGCCCTGGTTGAGCTCCAGGCTCCGCCACATCTCCTTCGTTTGCAGTGAGCCTGAATGGAAGTTGAATGCACGGCGTATCCAAACAAAGAGTAAGTAACGCATAGTCCTTTCTACCGTATCATCTTCACTGACTAGACGTATTCCTCCAAAAAAAACTAGTTTTCGTAGCAACCTCGCCTCTATCTTAAGTAAAGAAAGGAAAGGCTTAACTCCATGAGGATACGCCACGCATTGACCCTACAAGGGGGAAAAGTAGAGGGTAGGAAATGTTCAGAGCGTGTAAGATGATATTCGGTGGCTCACCGATTTTGTGGGAATTTGTTATATCACTCGTGAAAAGTCCTCTTTCTTTTGCTGATCGCTGGGGAACCCATGGGAACGTTCATGAGATTCTGTCGTCATACACGGGTA